TTAGCCACTATGCCACCTGCTGGGCTCTCCATGAGCATTTTAAAGGACTCCCCTCTTACTCCATTAAACAAACTTGGCTTAAGTAAAGGCTGAAATATATTCACAAAGGAAGAAAAGGATAAATGATACGTTTTGTAAAATCTAGAAAATTAGTGGGTCTAATACCACAAGAGTCAGCAATGTAAAAGAAAAACTTGTAACAAATAAATGCTATAAGTAACATTTGATTAGAAATACTAGTAGATATTTACTCTTTTTTTTTTTTTTTTTGAGAAGTTTTTGCTATAGGGCGCATGTGCTTGCCAGAAAGACAGAGAGAGACAGAGAGATAGAAAGTGAGAAATCACCCCCCAGGGATGATGGCACGCTGCCCCAATCCCTTCTCCTCCATTCTCTTCTCAGGATTTTGGGCATGCACGCACATGTGCCTGGCATGAGTTTAAGCCACCAGGTTCGGGACTCGAACTGCCATTGGCTACATGGGAGTTCTGTGACATAGCTATTACGCTAACTGCTGGTCCCATCTCCTTGCTCTTCTTCAGTTCATTGTCTCTCTTCTCTTCCATTTTGGTTAGCTTTGCCATTATGAATATTCTAAATTCTTTATCAGACATTTCCAATTTCCATTGAACTGTCCGTGGATGAAGAGGAGTTATTCTTTTCCCTGGGAGGAGAGGTATGTTCTTGCTTTCTCATATTTCTTGTGGCCCTGCAGTCATTTATCGTCATCTGATGAATGGTGTGTTTCTTCCTAATTCTTGAAGTTCAATCTGAACATTCAGAAGCGTGCAGAAAGAGGTGCTCTGTAATCGCTTTCCTGTTCTGTTGTGATCGCTTTGTGCAGCAGATTCAGTAGATATTGAGGAATATGTTAACCCTAATAGTATTTGGATGTTTGGCTGTAGTTCACTTAGATCCATCTAGGAGCACAGTAAGTGGAGATTGAGGAGTGGAGAGATGAGATAAAAGAAAATGAAAAGAAAACACACACAGAGAAAAGCAACAATAACAACAACAAAGAAACAGAGGAAAAAAGTAAAAAGAAAAACTAAAAAAAATTATTATTATTTTTAAAAGCACAAAATAGAAAACTACGTGGTGCACTAGTTCTCAGGAGCCATGAGGAATCGTCTTCTGAAGGCCTGCCTTTTGCCTCTCCTGCCTGGGTGGGAGGGGGAGATGGGATTATTAAAAGACAAAGGTGGGGCTTAAAGCAAGAGACTACTTTACCTTAACAAATTTTAAAAAGGAAAAATTATTGAAAAATGAGAAAACAAAAGCAGACAGAGACAGAGACACAAAGACAAAGATAGAAGTCTAGAGGAGCTCCCTACCACTCAAGTTTGTGGGCTGGAAGCTGAATTATCAGTAGGAAATCTTCATTTCTCTTTTTCCCCTGAAATCACTAGTTCTCAGGAGCCATGAAGAATCATCTTCTGAAGGCCTGCCTTTTGCCTCTCCTGCCACTCAAGTTTGTGGGCTGGAGGTTGAATTATCAGTAGGAAATCTTCATTTCTGTTTCCCCTGAAATCACTAGTTCTCAGGAGCAATGAGGAATTGTTCTCTTGAGTTGACTTCTTGTTAATGGTGAGAAATGGTCCAGTTTTATTTGTCTGCAGGTGGATATTCAGTTGTTTCAGCACCATTTGATGAAAAGATTTTCTTTTCCCCAGTGGATTGTCTTGTGCCCTTTATAAAAAAAATCAGTTGACTCTATGTTTGGGGTTATTTGTGGGGTCTTTATTCTGCTCCATTCTACATGTTGTTTTTGTGTCAGTACCACACTGGCTATTTTTTTAAAGAGAGATTTTTGCTATTGGTTGTGTATGCTCATTGGAGAGAGAAAGACAGACAGAGAGAGAGAGAGAGAAAGAGAGAGAGAGAGAGAGAAAGAAAGTGAGAACTCTCCCCCTACGGGTATGGCCATGCTACAACCCCTTCCCTTTCATTCTCCTCTCAGAATTTTGGGCATGTACTCACATGCACCCAGTATGAGCTTTAAGTCATTGACTTCAGGACTCGAACCATATCAGCCCTGTGCTGGCCACTATGCCATCTGCTGGCCCTACCATGCTGTTTTGATTATCACAGCTTGGTATTTGGGTCAGGAAGTGAGATGACTTCTACTTTATTTTTTCTATGTAGTATTGCTTTGGTGATACAAGACCTTTCATGATTCCAGACAAATTCTGTGAAGAATATCTCTGAAGAATATTCTGTGAAGAATATCTCTGGTAATTTGATCAGTATAGCATTAAAATTGTAGATTAATTTGGGTAGAATTGACATTTTGATTATATTAATTCTTCTGATCTAGGAACGTGGGCTATCTTTCTTCTTTTGTGTGCCATTTTCAATCTCCTTCACTGCCGATGATAATGTAAATTAGTACAACCACTGTGGAGAACAGTATGAAGGTTCCTCAAAGTCCTACAAATAGAACTACCAGAAATTCCACTCCTGGGTATCTACCCAAACAATAGGAATATACTCAGTCAGGAAACACTTGCACATCCCTGTTTATTGCAGCATTATTCACAATTGCTAAGACATTGAATGGACTGAAAAAGTATGGCACATATACACAGTGGAATTCTACTCAACCATAAAAAATAATGAGACCCTGGCATTTTATAGAAAGTGGATGAATATGGAGGATTTAATGCTATGTGAAAAAAGCTAGATTATGAAAGAGAGGCACTGTATTTCTCCACTTACTGTATACTAAGTGTCAGTACTCTATCACAGAAACTGAAAGTTTGGAAGGTATAAAAAAGTGGAGAGCTACTGTGGATGCTAGAGACAGTGTGGGAGGAGGGTAGGAAATGGTGGGATGAGATGGAAAGAATCAAGGGAAAAAAGAAGGAAAACATTTAATGGACATGAAAATGGAAAGTTATGATAATAGTGTGTATGGTAATATCTTTGATTGGATTAATATACAAAGTATTCTGGGAAAACGCATTTTCCCAGAATGTACAAAAATGTAAAATGATTGAATGTTTAAAAAATGAGAAAATAAAGAAGAAAAGAAAAAAAAAACGGTTGGTTCTATTTGTAGGTTTCAATACCAAATGTCTGCACTCTATGGCAGAGCCTGAGGGACTAGGAGACATAAAAGCAGGGAAGGTAACTGTAGATAATAGAGGCATTATAGGAGGGGGCAGGTATTGGGAAGTAGGTAGGGAATCAGGGGAAAAAGACATTTAAAAGACACAAAAATGAAAAGTTATCTGGTGATGATAATGTATATGCTAATATATTTGATTGGACTAATATACACTGTATTCATGCTTGGAAAAACTATTTGTATGCTGTACAGATGTACACTAATTAAATGTAAATGAAAGATACATACATACACACACACACACATTTATAAATTGTGTGGTTAAATATATTTAAAGCAAATATATTTGAACAAAAACTGGGAAACTGTTGAGCCATTTCTGATGAATCAATGAAAGTAAAAAGACATGTTTAACTGAAATTATCATAACAGATCAGGTCTAAAACTGCAAATGCATCAGCATCACATGGTGGGGTTATTACCATGGATAGATTTATATAAACAGAGAGACACACATTTCACTTTATTGGGTATTAAAGAGTGAAACTTCCAAAACTCCTAGTTCCCCTAACCTGCCCTGGAGCACTTACACAAATACTTAGATTCTTCCTGTATTGTGGACATTCCATATAACCTTTTAGTTAGTATGTTTGTCTGTTTTGGTGCTGATGCATTTCTTAAAATATTTCCTGGAATATGTATAGTGTGAAATATGTTTGTGCTCAATATGTAAATAAATTCCTCGAGAGCAGCAAAGTTTAACAGAAATATAACGTAGGATTGGTTCTGTAGCCTGGTGGTTAAGGGAGCCAGATCACACAACACCGACCATGGTTCAAAGCAAGATGGAGAAGTGGAGAGGAAGAGACTGCAGCATGACCTAGCCCCAATGGCATGTGATCGTTTTCCTCTCTTTCTCTCTCTGACATGCACATGCACCATCTGGCAGTTTAGAACCAATGAAAGAAAAGAAAGAAAATGAAAACCCTAAGTACAATTTAAAGATTTTATTGATAAACAGCAAATTCAAGTAGATAAAATGATACATTTTTAACTTTTAAAATATTTGACAACTGGGGCCACCAGATGGTGTAGTGATTATGTCACTGGACTCTGACAAGGCCAACTCTGAATGGAATCCCAGACCTGGAGGCTTCAAAATCATGCCGGGTACATGTGTGTGTGTGCATGCCTGAGATCTCTGGAGGAGAATGGAAGAAAGGATTATGGCATGGCCATCCCCCCTGGGGGGGGGTGATTTCTCATTTTACCTCTCACTGTCTCTGGCCCCACTCCTCCATGTGTGCACATGCTCTAAGGCAAAAATCTCTAAACATTTTTTTGATGACTTGTTTTTTACATTGAATGATTGTACATTTCTACAGACAACTCTCTAATGAAGACATACAAATGAAAAAAATGCATATAAAAAAAGTTTAACATCTCTTATCACAAGTCAAAAACCACAATGAGACACCACTTAATCTGTCAGAATGGCTATGATAAAAAAAAAAAAAGGAACAAAAAGTGCTGGCTAGGCTTGGGGTAGGGGACTTTACACTATTGGTGGGAATGTAAATTAGTACTGCCACTGTGGAAAACAACATGGAGTTTCCTTAAGAATTTACAAATAGAACTACCATACGACCCAGTAATCCTTCCCCTGGATAAAATTATTTTATTAATATATTTATAATACATTTCATGTAACACAAAATATTCTAATTCAAACATATACTCAATATGAAAATGATCAACTTGTTATTTCTGTATGCATTCATTGTAAGATTTTAAATCCTCATGTATTAAAAATTTACAGCATATCTTAATTCATACCGGTCCCATTTCAGCACTCATTAGATACATGGCATGTTTTTGCTCATATAAATCCTTATAGAGACTTATGTTACAGGAAAAAAGCTGTCAATCATTACTGAATACTCCTTGAAAAAAAGGTAAATCTCAATTTTGAAAAGGAAGAAGTATATTTGGAAATCATTTTATTATTTTTCATCAGCACAAAAGGGCAGATGGTTGGGTAACATGAGGAAATTATTCCAGCAACTCTGTCCAGTCTTGGGCTTTTCTGAGATTTATAATACAAATAAAAGGTCACAAAGTTGTCTGAGCAATAGAAGAACACAAAGCAACTTACCAGCCAAAGGATAGTGTGGGTGGCTTTGTTTTCAGGAGATGGCTGGGCAGAGAGGCTGGGGCTGTGAAGGTGCTGGGCTCTCCTGTGGTGTCTGTAGAGCAGATTCACCATGTAGATGCTGGTCCAGATCATAGGAGCCACAAAGAGCACATCTCGAATCACCAAGACACTTGTAAATGCCCCTGGGTAGTAGTTTTTAAGCTTCTTAGTTTGACAGTATGCATGAGAATATCCAAACCCGACAATAGTGAAATTGCGATTGGCTTCTAGAGATAGGATTACGTGGATATAGACCACCATGTTGATGATCCAGAAGAAAAAGAGAGAGGGTAAAATCCATGTAGAGGATTTAGTTTTAAGCCGTGCCCATTTAGAATTACTGGGACTGATAGTGATGGCTTGAAATGCACTCAGGAGAGAGGTGGTACAGAACTCTTGAGAACCTTAAAGTATGAAAATTGGTATTATGAAGAAAGTTGGCATTCAAGTGTTAACACTGCATTGTAGTGTATTTTCTGTGTATCTTTGACCTATATGAAGACAAATTGGCATGTTATAAGGCTTTTTTTCCTTCAAAATATTATATTCCATTTTATCTCTAATATTATATCTGTACCTATTCTGACCCTTCTATAGAACATTTCAAAGACACAAAGTGTCACGTGTATATGGCCATGTCTTTTTTACTTTTGATGGCATTCAACAGTTCTTCTAACACAAAGGTCATTTTTATCTATTTATTTTATTTGTTGTTATTATTATTTAATTTGATAAGAGAAGGAGAGAGAGAGAGGGAGGGAAAGGGAGAGAGACATGGAGGAAAAGAGAGAGCAAGGCTCCAGGTCCGAGACTTGAACTGTGGTTTACCATGTGGATGTCCAGCGCCTTAACCACCATGCCACTTACCACCCCAAAAAGGTCATTTTAAACACTCATCTAACATAGAATATTTTAGGTGGAGACTCTGTTGTCTCCTCTGACTCAGTCTCATGGGCCTCTGAGAGTGTTCACAGATGATTTTGCTTTTCACATCTTGGTGTGAAACTAGTACAATGGGCAGAGGCCAAGGATGCTGCTGAATATCTCACGAAGCACGGCATAACCACACCATAGGAATTCTCAGGTCCTAAACATCACTCATCTAGTCACTGACAAACCAAGTTTTTAGAGTCCATGTTTCTTGCTGACTACAGCATATACCAAATCTCCATTTGTTTCTGAACACTTTTCTATGCTTGTTATACAAACAAAATCAGTTAGTTCACAAACAGAGTAAAATAGGAATGATATTCATTCAGGCTGACATTCCAATTCATAAGGTTAACATCTCATCTATGTTTATTCGATTCAGAGTTGTTTACTATATCATTCACTTGGAAACTCATTCTCCCACTCATCTAGTTGTTTTATATGCTAAAATATCATCCTTTGCCAAACAGATTTCAAGTGAAATATCTGTAAGTCTTCCTCATACTGACAAAGTTCATGGGAGTGTTCTGAACTCACTAAGCTGTATTCTCTGTATTCCGCATTCTCTGACTTAACTACAACTCATATTATGCCATTCACCTCAACTACAGCATAGATATTCTCATTGTCAAGAAAAAGGCAAGAAGGTGCAAAGTATTATTGAAAATCTAAGATATCAGAGTATTATTCTTCTATAACTCATTTGTCTTTTCTAGCAATATTATAATCTGTTTTATTAGTTTGAATTGTTTGAGTTGTGCTACTTACTTGACATGAGGGACAACAGCTAACTTTATTGTTTGGAAAAACAGCTTACATGGCATGAAAATTTCAGGTTCCTGTTCAAGTTCTCTGACCATTCATTTCTTGTCTAATTTCATTAAGGAGTGGCTGCCTTCACACCATGGCATTAGCTAGAGTTACTCTTTTCTTTTTTTCCTCTTGCTCCACACACCTTCCCTTAGCAATGCACATTCTCCTAATTTGATCATCCAGCTCATTTCTCTAAATTCCATTAGTTATTCATGCAGATTAGTTTTCTTTTGGTCCAGGGTGAAAGACCCTGGATAACATAGCAGGCTCTTCTATGAACATAAGCCACCTCATTTCTTCACAGCTTGTGATTGGATAAATGGTATTAGATCCCACTATAGCAGTAGCCGAGGAAAAAGTAAACAATACACAGTGGAAGACACACCATCTGAATCTTCCCTGCTCAATGCACTATAACTTAGGAATTTCATAAAAGAACCACACAGAAATTCAAATGGACAAATCACTTAAAACCAGCAGATAGCATGGTGGGTCAAGTTGCTAGATCCTTTATGGCCAACAATAGGGGTTCAAATCCCAGGCCTTGTTGCCTGAAAAACATGTGACATTCCCAAACGTGTATGCCCTGCCTCCCCCAAGAAGAGAATGGAGAAGAAGGGATTATGGCATTTCCATCCCCTCTCCCCCTCCAGAGTGAGTTCACATTCCACTCCTTCCTCTGTCTCTCTCTGGCAAACTCATATGCCCTATGGCAAAAAATCTAAGCAAACAAGAAGACAACTGTGAGACAGAGAAAAGTCAAAACAGAACAACTAGATGACCAGAGGTAGAACAATTATGCAGGGCATGGAAAATAATTAAGGTAATTTTATATTAGTTGCTAACAGTCCAAAAAAGAGAGTGACCAGAAAGCTTTTTAAATAAGGGATTCTCTCTGGAATTAACATTTACAAGAATGTGGAAGAGGCTGCAGTGATAATCTAGACAAGACAATCAGAGGAACAGAAAAAAATCCCTCATGACAACTCACCAGAGCCCTGTCTGGAAAGGGAGGAAGGAGCCAGTAGGAAAATCCCAAATCTGTGCACATCTGGTCAACAAGGGTGATGTCTGAAGAGGTGACTCATGGAGATTATCGGGAGCTGCCAGAGCTGAAGCAGCTGCAGCCAAATGCACAGTGCTTGGCTGGATTGTTGTTGAGGTATCAGACTGGACCCTGGAGCCTGCAGAGCTTCTGTGTCCATTACTTAGTGACTTGATGTTAAAAAGGTTAAAGGTCTTTGACTCATTCCTTTCTTTTGAAACTAGGGCTTCTTATTGCAAACTTTTCCTCAGAAATTTCATGGAAGGGTATTCTGGAATGTGTGTTTTTCAATCTTAGTCAAGAGAGAATATCAAACTGATGGTGTCAAATTACCACATCCCTCCATATAATTTGACCACATAGCAGTGCCCAAGAGGACACACTTGGACAAATTGAAATTTTCTCTAACTCTGGATGAAAAAAAATAAACAACGTACTTTCATGAATTTCAGTTCAGCACAGTGCCCCTCCCATTTAAAATATAATTTCATCCACATTTACTCCTCTCATTCTTAAGGAAAGATAATAGCAAAATATGATTCCAAATATCATCATGTAATTATCTCTCAAACAACTGAAACTTGTGAATTCTCTCTCCAAAGGAGGACATAAACTTTCCCATGACTTATAGTCTCCTCCTAAAACTAGTCATAAATGGGGCCAGCAAGTGACATGGTTGTTAAGGTGCTGAGCTCCCAAATGGCCGAACATGGTTTGAGTCTCAGACCTGGCAACTTGTTTTCTCACTTTCTCTCCATCTATCTCTGTGTCTCTATCTCCTTCTGGTGAGCATACATGCCCTGTAGCATATTGAAAAAGATATAAAATTTCAAAAAAGTATTCATATCTTATAAGTTATGTTTTGTTATATCAGGCTTAAAGATATTAACAGATACCTTTTCACAGATAATAAATAGCTAGCTGGCTGGACAGATCTAGATCTTTCTCTCTATAAACACAAATGAGGAGTGAAGAGAGAGAGACAGAAAAATAAGTTGAGCTAAAATAATTTAAAAATGATTCATTCAAAAAATACCTAGGAAAAATAAAACAACCGGAAACAAGACATAGTAGAAAACATACACCTCAAAGTTACATCCAACCATATTAATGGTGACCATAAATGAAAATGGACTAGAGTGAACTTAGGAAGTTGATGAAACAGGAAGTCCTACAATGTCACCTCAATAATAATTTGGGAGCCATCCATGGATGAAAACATTTTTTTGGGGAGGAGTTTTAATATCCAGGGTTAAGGTCAAGGAACCCAGTGGAGCCCAGGACCAATTAGGGCCATTCTGAGATGGCAAGACCCTGTCCAGGAGCTAGGTTCACAGACCCAGGATCTGGCTACAAGCATGGAAAGAGCCCATCTCACAATGGATTCTGCTCAGAATTACTTGATTTTGGTTCTGCTGCCTGGAGCATTTAAAACAAGCCTGGGTGAGTAGTATTCTGTAGAGTATTTATGCCACACTTTGTCAATTCACTCATCCATCTTGGACATTTGGTTTGATTCCATGTCTTAGCAGTTGTGAATAATGCTGCTATAAACATGGATGCACAAGTGTTTTTGTGACTGAGTGCATTCCTATCCTGAAACAGTGTGGGAGGAGGGTGGGAAATGGGTGGGGCAATGGAGGGGGAATCAAGAGAAGAAAAAAAAAAGGAAGCAAAACATTCAATGGACACAAAATTGGAAAGTTATCAGTTGATGATAATGTGTTTGGCAATATCCTTGACTGGACTAACGTATAGTGTATTCATGGTGGGAAAATTCATTTCCTATGTTGTAAAGATATACATTGAATGAATGTAAAAAATAACAAGAAAGAAAAGAAAAGAATAGAAATAAAATTAAACCTGGGAGGAGGCATATCTGCTATGCTTCGAGAAACAAACAATATGATTGAAAGTAGAGTTCTTTCCGCGAGGTTGCTGGGGAGAACCTACCGCTGTGCTGACCATGCTCTGCCAGACACTGTGTCCATGACGATTGAACTTCCAAGTTTGG